GCATGGTCACAGCGAACGCATCAAAGACCAAGTGACCGATTCCTCGATTGCTCTGCATTGGTTCACGAACGATACGCGTGAGGAGCTTGGTCCTACAGCCGCCTATCAAGGCAGGCCATTCCTTGCTCTAGGGGAGTTTCCCCCGCGGCTCTATCACCGAACCACGCATGATGCAGCCTTCAATATTCTCTCTACTGGCTTCACGCCGGGGTTCAACCGGAGCGGCAAGTTTCACAACTACTTCGCGAAAGCCACTCTGAGCGAGCTTGAGAATAAAGCTGGCAGCCGAGCAAACCTTCCTTACGAAATTGTTCTCGACACTCAGGAGGTGAACCGCTATGCGTACCTGTTTGAGACAACTTCCGAAGGTATACTCACTCGCGACCCGGTGCCAGGGACTTGTGTGCTCTACATCAGAGACACGATCAAAGGCATCATTCTGTGGTCTCGCCAGTCCAGCGAGGAGGAAGACACCATCATTCCGGAAACTGCCCCGGAGCCCATTGTGGATCCAGGAGCAGCTGAGCCGGAGCAGTTCCCCGATGTTCCGGAGGAACCTTCAGCCCCACTTAGTGGTGGCCATGAAGAGGTCGAAGCAGCAGCGTCTGCAACAGCAGACGAGCCTATGGTTGAAGTCGAAGTTGAGGTTGAGGTTGCGCCACCAGAATCATCACCAGCACCTCTTGCACTCAACGACGCTACAGCATCCGACTTCCTTCCGGAGGAAACCACAACATTGGACCAGGGGGGCGCTTCACCACCGGAGGCACCGACTGAGTCCAGAAAGCGTGTTCGTTTCCTTGAGCCGGAAGATCCCGTTGAAGTCGAGATCGAGATCGAGCCAGACGAAGGCGATGTGAAAAAGGAGGAAGAAGTCAAAGTTGAGCCGATGTTCGAGCAGGCACCGCCTCAGCCGGAATCGACTCCATTGGCGCTCCCTCCAGCCCCCGTTACGGGTGGCCGCCACAGAGCCTGTCCCCACTGTGGGACGCAGCATCTCGTGGGACAGATGATCTGTCTCCACTGTGGCGTGCACATCGTGAAGCCTTCCCAGCAGAACGCACGCAAGAAAGTGCGTACAGCTCGTTGGTTCGCTGAAGAGGCCGCCGCTGCCACTGCGGGCAAGCCACGTTCCCAGCTGACGCCCGAGGAGGTCATCCATGAAATGACCAGAGACTCCTCAACACAGCGAGGAACTACGTCGCTTGACGCAGAGGCGTTGGACAAAGCCCGGCAGCAGTTAAAGATGGCGACAAAAGGAGGCTACACCAGCATCGTACACCGCTTCGACAATGATGTGGACTACACTATGAGTTCCATCGGCAATGGGTACGATCGAGAGTTTCTGGCCATCGAAGACGTGCTTACGCATGCTGCATTGCCGAACCATGGCCGCTCCAAGGAGCAACGACAGTTAGCTGTCGGCACCTATGGTGGAAGCTCCGAAGGCCCAAGGAACCAGGAGATTGCTCGGTTGCTCTATTTGCACGAGTGCAATCCAGCCGCCCTTAGGGCAGGCCTGATCTCCGCAGTGAGTGACGATCCATTTTGCATCATGTGGCTGGGAGGGGCATACAGTTTGCGTAAATTCGTAGATGTTTTCCTCCAGCACAAAATCGTGAAGATGATTGTTACTTTCTCAGAAGAGGCACTCTACGTAGATCCACGACTCGGCTATTCTGCTGAGGACTGGACTGAGTGGCTCCGTGGGAAATTCGCGGAACAGGTCGGAATTGCACGCCGTGCATATGAAGAACGCCAACGCAATGCGGAGCGTTCTCGCATCGCACAAGCCAAAGCTGATGCACGCAGAGCAGAGCAACAGCGCTACCAGGAGCAGGGATGGGATCGCGGCTACCAGCGAGGATCCTATGGCCGCTCCTCCGGTTCCCGAGGATGGTACTAAGTACCTGATCGACATTTCGTGGTTCCGTCACGTTAACCGGTACTCCGAAATACAGCCCCTCTTAGAGGTGGCCGAATTTCCTTAAGACCAGAAAAATTTCATGCTTCATTTCCTGGCAGTCACTTCGTGACAAATCCGAACAGCCAGCAGCTCCAGTGGATGATGTATTCGTCCCATGCTGCACACGTTCTTGCGACTTGTATCCACGCCATCATTCAAGGCTTGCTGGATCGTCGCCACTTTATAATGCATGTCGCGACTTTAAACTGCGCGCTAAAAGAATTAATCTGCTTCCGTATCTTCCGCTTTACGGTAGTAGAAAGCCTATGAGCCCCGAGCCACAATCCAGCCGCCTTTACGGCAGGCCACACAGCACCAAGCTTCCGTGCATGTTTGCGCCTCAGACTAACGCTTCGGCGAGGGGGGTGTAATTTGTGCACGTGTGAAGTAGCATGTTGTGTGGTGACATTGTGGCACAAGTGCTCTAACAGGAAAAGTGCGTAGTTGCCTAATGGTATTGCGCTGCTTGTTAACACTTGGACGGGTATATACAACAGTGCGTGTGTGCAGTGGTTTACAACAACTATAAGGGTTTAGGGGTTTAGGGTACCCTAAACCCTAAACCCTAAACCCTAAGCCCTAAACCCTAAACCCTAAACCCTAAACCGTTTAACCCTAAACCCTAAACCCTAAACCGTTTAACCCTAAACCCTAAACCCTAAACCGTTTAACCCTAAACCCTAAACCCTAAACCGTTTAGGGTTTAAGGGTTCAGGGTGAAAGGGGCCTTGAGGGTTGAACTGTTGTGTGTGGAAAGCAGACGGAGCGCGGTTGTCCGGTTTTCCAGGGCTTAGGGCTTTTAGGGTTTTAGGGTTTTAGGGTTTAGGGTTTAGGGTTTAGGGTTTGAGGGTTCAAGGTTGAGCTTATACTTTACTATACTATACTACATTGTGCTTAGGGTTTGGGGGTTCAGGGCTTGGGGCATAAGTAGGGCCAAGTAGGATGGATGGTCTGAATATCCGAAGGATGTCAGCTTGCACTGTGTGCAAGGAAATCCAAAACATGCTCAAATTAATTGGAAAAGCAACGTTCAGCCAGGCCTGCGTGCCTGCTAGATAAGCACACGCCCATCAATGACCCGTGGAAGCGGGCACCGGGGGCCCTTGCTCCGCGTCACAGGCACATTGGCATGAATCATGGTGCACATGAGGTCGCCCCGGTCTTAAAACAAAGCTAAGCCACTCCGTCCAAGCACCTGCATTCCACCCTCACCGACCTCAAGGAAAACCTGGGCAAAGTTAGCAGAACAACCACACCGCCTCAGTGGCCCTGGCATCCTAAGTGCAGGAGCCTTCCAAAGGCAGCCTCATGTGGGAGTTTCCGAATATAGGGGACCCTAATATGGTACCCTAAATAGTAGGATCATTATTATAAGGCCCCCAAAATAAAATACCCCTATTTTCAGAAACTCCCATGTTCCGACTGCTCATCAAGCGCACGGAAGGCGTCGGCAGGCAAGGCTCATAAGTGGACGCGAGGAAGGCCAAGCAAGGGCCCTCTGGCGTAGATGTCGCCGAAGTCGTCGCTGCGTCCAGTGCTGAGTAAGGCATGCTCTGCATGCAGCCCCTTCGCTGTACCGACGAGTTGGGCTGATGTGTGCATGTTGTGCCGCCAAATGCCCTGCCAAGTGCGCGCCGGACTGACACATAGACGAGAACAAATGACAATGCAAAGTATTGCTTTGGAGTGATGGGCAATGTACCTGTTGAACCCCTTGAATCAAATTCAATGACCTGGCTTTCTTTTGGAGCACATACCACTCATGCAAGGATTGTGCCTGAACCTTCATGGCCTGACTGACCGCGTTGCAAAGTTCATTCTCTGACAACCAGACCGCAAGCTCGTCGGTTTTGGAGGAGCTGGCCGCTCTCCGCCAAGACCTTCACGTACTCCGGCACTCTAACAGCGCATCCGTGCGAGGAATTTTCCTCAACACAGATGTCGGCCAGCTGTGAAAGCTGGTCCATTGGCGGCCTGTGCCGGAGCTCCTTGCACCTTACCTTTGGTTAGTAGGGAATGGAGGAATGGGGTACAATTATAACTACTATTGCTTCCATTCTTCCATTCCCTACTAACCAAAGGTAAGGCACCTGCCACGGAGGTGCATCAGGGTGTGTGACTGAACTGCCCACGGCACGTCGGCGAATTGCTGGACAGCATATTCGTATACCTAAGCTTTCTGGCTGCGACCGGGCTCCTGCCGACCAGAGTTGACGCAATACATCTTGCTGTGGATGCGAGTGTGTAAGCTTCATAGGGTGAGTTCGGGATTGCTCTACATTGACATCCGAAGTGCTTTTTATCGTGTCATCATGGCCAAGTAGAACGCAGGGTGTCGCGTTTGAGATTTAGTTGTTTTTGTTCTTGAGATCCGGAGGTTGATGCCTCTCCGAGGCCCACAGTCCACAGGGAGAGTTTGCGAGTTTTGGGAAGAAAGGCTTGATCCGTCCTTCAACCCGCTTGATGCTCAAAAGTACCTTGCCTAAACACTCAACCCTAAACCTTTAAACCCCTAAACCCTAAAGTAGATCCCTTTAAAGGAACCCCTAAGACGCCCTTTCAGGAGCCCGAAACCCTAGGCCCTAAGCCCTGAAGACTACCCAAGTTCTCAATCCAAAGCCCTAAGCCCAAAACTCTAAACCCCTCAGCCCACTACAGTAGAACCCAGAAAGATGGAACATCATTGGCCTCATGGCCTAAAAGTAAAGTATAGGGAATCCCAGCATGAATCATCCTAAATCTGTATTCCAACTTTGTGGGGTTCACTATGAAAAACACTGAAAGATCCCTTTGAAGGAACCCCTAAAACCACCTTTGAAGGAGCCCAAAGTCCTGAAGAGTAGACCACCCTGAAAAGTAGATCCTAAACCAAGCCCAAAACCCTAAGCCCTAAGCCGGATAGACTACTTAAAGGCTCATGGGACTTAGTAGGTAAGGTTATAAGTAGGTTATACTTAGGATAACCCCACTTAGGGGACTTATAACCCCAATAGTAACCTACTTACTAAGTCCCATGATCCTCTAAGTAGACAAGGTGCACTTCCAGGGCCGGCGCGAGACCGCCGCCTTCGATGCGGCACGGCCACTGGTGCCTGAGCTGTTCAGGAGCCTTTTTTTTCGTGAAGGGGTTGTTTAGGTTTAGAGCCTAGGGTTTAGGTTTTAGGGATTTAGGTCTTGCATAGGGTTTAGGGTTTTGGGGGGGTCTAGGGTTTGGGCTTTTAGGATTTAGGCTGTAGGGTGTAGGGTTAGGGTTTAGGGTGTAGGGTTTTGAGGGTTTAGGGGTTTATGTTTCAGCATAGTTATAGGGATTAGGGATTAGGGATTAGGGTTTAGGGTTTGGGGTTCAGCAGCTCCGGTCCATGAAGCATTATGGTAGAGTTGTACATAACTAGGTTTTGACAAAGCGCCCACCCACCCACAGAATCCATAATACTATGAAAATAGAAAGCATTTCTCATACTTCCCAATGAGGTTCACATAGCTTCTATTGAACTAGAAGCAGCAACTGTTTTTTTATCCATTCACTGCAGAGTTGCCTTAGACGACTAATGTGTGCAAGGTCGGGGAGTCCGGCAGAGCCCGAAATTTGCCTTAAACAACTAATGTTCGCAAGGTCGGGTTCAAAACTTGTCTTAAGCGGCTAATCGGTGCAAGGTCGGGTCCCTCAGAACTCCAAATTTGCCTTAAGCAACTGGTCGAAAAAGGTGTGCAAGGTGGGGTCCAAAACTTGCCTTAAGCAACTAATGTGTTTAACAACTAATGTGCGCAAGGTAGGGTCCAAAGCTTGCCTTAAACAACAAAAGGTATTAAGGGTTAAAGTTGAGGGTTTATGGTTTAGGGTGTAGGGCTTTAAGGGTTTATAGGGTTTATAGGGTTTAGGGTTTTGTGTTTCAGCATAATTGTCGTAAAGCTTAACCCTCAATCATCTTCAATCGGTTCAAGGTTTAGGGTGCAGGAGCGTTGGGTTAAGGGGCACTCGCCTATAGGATTTTCCGTCCGACTTGGTTGGCAGAGAGTCTGCGTAACCTAACCCGAAAACCTAAACATCTCATTATTTGACTACCCAGGCCTTGAAATCTCTCTACAAGCTTCGCAATTGCCGTTGGCTTCCACTGTCTTGAAGGCTGCAAAGCCCAGAACACTGCTTCTAGGGTTTGTGGGGTTTCGTGTTTGTAACGTTGGGGATTTTTGGGATTGGGGTTTATGGGTTTCCAGTTCAGGACACACTCCTAAACCCGAAACCCTAAACCGTTTATAAACCCTGCCAATCCTCCACAGGCGCCGCAGATGTCAGCCCTGGAACATGCATTGCACAGCGAGGTCCGGGTCGTTAACCCTAAACCTCTAAACCCTTAAGTCCGCAACCTTTAATCTAGGATCTAGAGTAGGCCCTTATTCCCTTTTTTAGGGTTTAGGTTACCTTATAACCCCCTTTAATCCAAAAAGGGCACCCTTTTTATTCCTAGGTTACTCTTGGGTCTAGTAATTCCTGAATGCCAAACCCTAAACCCCTAAACCCCCAAGGCCTGAACCCGAGCCCGAACCCCAAGCCGTGATGTCAGACTTTCTGCATGAAGGGTTTGGGGCTCGTGCTACGAAGGTTCCCGGCTAAGACAGCTTTCGCTTAGGGCAGCCGTAGCTGCGACCACGTGATTCAGGGTCTGTTCATGTTCCGACCTGTTTCTACTGCTTCCCCTACGACGACGACTACTACTATAACTTTCAGCAGCATGAGCGGCACGAGCAGCGCAGCACCAGCAGCGCGGGCAGCGACAGCAGCAGGTGATGCAAAAGGCTAAGCCCACAAGTCTCAAGGCCAAGAGCCCTAAGCCCTAAGCTACAGACTCCTACACTACAACCACTCAGCACCATAGTACTATTCCACTCATTCCGGCTTTGGTACCAATATGTGTATATATATATATATATATATATATATCAACATATGTATGTTTGCATATAAATATATATATATATATATATACACATATATATATATATATGTATGGAAAATAATCCTAAACCCGTTTTCAGAACCCTTTAACGGACCCTCTTATAGAACCCTAAAAAGGTAGGAGATAACGCTGCCAAACCCTGCAAGGAGCCGCTCGTCCTCGTCCGGCGCAGCGGCGCTGAGCTGGAGGCTCGCTGATGAGTCCTCCTTTTGGGTGGTCTGGGTCTTTAGGATTTAGGTTAGGGGTTTAGGGTTTAGGGTTTAGGGGTGTAGGGTTTTAGGGTTTAGGGTTTTTCTGACCAGAGACTCCAATATCGACCTGACCTTAACCTCTGGAATATACCTTGAATCATATTCGGGATCCGACCGCATTTTAAGGTATATTCCTGTAATGAGTCTTTTTTTCAGGGAACCCATGGAGGTAGCTGGGCTTGGGATTTAGGGTTTGGGGTTTGGGGTTAGGCGGTTTAGGGATTTAGGGTCTAGCATTTAGGGATTTAGGGTTGCAGGGTTTAGGGATTTGGGGTCTAGGGGTTTCAAATCAAGGAGCGAGTCGTTTTCGTGTGGGGCTAATTGGTTTGAGCTTGTAGGTACAAAGTCCGGGTGAATTTTGCATTCGGTATCCTGAAGACTAGCTGAAGGGGGCACAAGCGTTACAAGTTTAAGCTAGCCTGCAGGGGCAAACCCACCCTCGCGCTTCAGAGCAACATGCAGCTTCAATTGCATGACCTTGCTGTTACTCTGGTCCCAAGTTCAGGGTTTAGGTTTTCGGGTTGGGGCTTAGGGCCCTAACTTCACCCAGAACCCCTAAACCCTAAACCCCAAAACCCCAAACCTCCAAAACCCACAAATCCCTGAACCCCACTCGACCCTAAACCCTAAACCCGCTTGGTAGCTACCCAGAGACTCCAATATCCCTTAATTAAGGAATATACCTTAAAATATAGTAGGATCCTTAATATGATTTAAGGAATATTCCCTAATTAAGGGGTATTGGAGTCTCTGGGTATGATGGAGTAGCGCCAAACCCCCCCCCCCCTCAGGATCGATGCTGGGTTCTTGTTAAGGGATGCAGTTTTTGATACCATGAACAGGAAACCATATCATTTACTATAGATCCCCATATATGGTCTCTCAACCCCTAAACCCCTAAACCCTATAAACCCTATAATTCCTAAACCCCTAAACCCCTAAACCCCTAAACCCTAAATCCTTAAACCCTAAACCCCTAATTCCTAAACCCCTAAACCCTAAACCCCTAAACCCTAAACCCCTAAACCCTATAAACCCGATAATTCCTAAACCCCTAAACCCCTAAACCCCTAAACCCCTAAACCCCTAAACCCCTAAACCCTAAACCCCTAAACCCCTAAACCCCCAAACCCTAAACCCCTTAAGAAGAGCCCAGCACAACAAATCGAGGAGCCGGTGGTCCTGAGAGGAGAGGAATTTCATCGGATACCCCTGCAAGAAGCTTTAAAGTCCCTTACTTAAAGGATCATGGGACCTAGTTAGTAACTAGGGGTATAAGTAAGTGAACTATACTTATAACTACTTATAACCCCAATTAAGGTACTTATAGCCTTACTTACTAAGTCCTATGATCCTCCAAGTAGAGGGGGTTAAGGGTTTAAGGTTTAGGGCTTAAGGTTTAGGGCTTCAGGGTTTAAGGTTTAGGGCTTAAGGTTTAGAGGGGGTTAAGCATCTTTTGTGCAGATCTCCTCAGCCTCTGATAACAGATGGCTGCAATCCTTTCCCGAAGTTGAGCAACGCTCAGCGCCTTGTAGAGCTGCGTATCAGTGAGTGAGTGAGAGGGGGTTGAGGGTTTAAGGTTTAGGGCTAAAGGTTTAGGGCTTCAGGGTTTAAGGTTTAGGGTTTAAGACTTACAGTCCCTTAGAGGGGTTTAGGGGCTTAAGCTTTAGGGTTTAGGGAAGTCCCTTAGAGGGGTTTAGGGCTTAAGGTTTAGGGCTTAAGACTTAAAGTGCCTTAAAGGGGTTCAGGGTTTAAGGTTTTGGGTTTAAGATGTAGGGTTTGAGGTTTGAAGTTTAGGGTTTAGGGTGTGAGGTTTAGGGTTTAGCCCTAAAGGAACCCTTGTAAGAAGCTTTTGGAGGAAGCCGGTGAAGCCCCGCAACCGCCGCGTTAAGTGGAGGTCTTACAGACGGAGCTCCAGTTGCAGGCAAGGCATTGGGAGTATCCCAGAGATCCTGAAATCATAATACGAAGGCCTCTATAGTTTAAGGTATATACCTTAAATTATCGAGGCCTTGGTATTATGATTTAAAGTCTATTAAAGGTCTAATTATTCCTTAATTAAGGGGTATTGGGATCCCTGGGATAGGGTCCTTAAGGGAGGGTGGTTCAAGGGGGGAGGGTACAAGGGATCCGTGGGGAACCTTAAGGGAGCCATAATGGGAGGGCTCGCGATGTTGATGGGAGCGCTTTTCGGGCGCAAAAGGGCTTTAGGATTTTGCAGGGTCTTCTGGGGGTTTGTAGGCCTTAGAAGGACGTACAGTAAGCTCTAAAGTTTACGGCTTGATGCTGTTGGGTGTGGGAGCCGACTTTAAAGCCCTAGCCACATAGCACCTCCGTAACGAATCCATAGCCACCCTGCGTCTGCCCTTGCAACCTTATACAACTAACCGTAATCCGTGCAAAACCCACAAGAAGCCCTAGAAGAAGTGTGGCTCGAGTTCGTCCTGGAGGCTGCGTTGGTCGGCAACTCCAGCATGTGCACGTGTTTATGCATATGTGTACGCACGCGCATATGCATATGTCAACATATGTACACACACACACCTATAAATATATCTGTTTGACAGTCTGTCTGTCTGTCTTTCTGCACGTATGTATGCATGCAGGCATGTAGATTTGTAGGTATGTCGGTATGTATGTGTACCCACACGTACAGATATCGCAAATTCTGCATCCCACCCAACATGTTTAAGGCTCATATCAATGCCAATACCGCGCCCGAAGGCCTCAAGCTCCAAAAAGAAATTAGTTTTGATCATCGCCAGACTTAAGGCTGGAACCCCTGCAAACCATAATCCGAAAATATGGAATAGTAGGGACCCTGCAGAAAGTAGATCAGGGTACGTAGGTCCGTTTTGGCATGCACCCGAAACCCTAAACACTAAACCCTGACCCCTAAACCCTGAAATCCTGAACCCAAACCCTGAACGCTCAGCCCTGAACCCTAAGCTCGGAACACTGAAACCTTGATCCCTATACCCTAAACCCTAAACCCTAAACTCTTCGAAGGCAATAGCTCCGGGCGCGGACGTTGCTGCAGAACCGGTCACAGAACTAGCCGCCAGACTTCAGTTGCGATCTTTCCGAGATTTGGAGTTTAGGGTATCAGGGTGTTAGGTGTTCGGGTTGTAGGGTTTAGGGTTTTAGGGTTTTAAAGGGGGTTTGGGGTTTCAGGGATTTCGAGAGTTTATGGGTGTAGGAGCCTCGTTCTCCGGAGTTTGATGAAGAGGGCTTGTGTTGTTTTGGATGCTTGGATACTACAGGGGCCTAAATAATTATGTATACTATTTTGGGGGTTCCTTTTTTGTAGTCATAGTATCTGCTCTCATTATCCAGGCCCCCATATTATAGTACCCTTGTAGCTCCCTTAAAGTAACCCTTCTAGACCCCTTTAAAGGAACCCTATTTCTACTTGTTATGGCTCCTAAGGAGTCCCGGCTTCGTAAGCTGTCTTCGCGAGGCTGCCAGGTTCTTATGGGCTCTGTCCGTTTCCCAAAACTCGATCAAAGGGGAAAAGGAGGGACCCTTAATGGGAACCCCTACCCTATAATGGGCTATATAATGGGTATATGATGGCAAAATTAAGGGTATATACCTAGGGGTCCTTATTCAGGGTCCCTCCTTTTACCCTTGGATTCGAGGTCCGCTTCTTAGAGGTATCCTAACTGAGGATCTCGCATTCAAAGGTCTGTATTGGCTTGCTTCCTTTTGTCGGGAAACTCCTCTTCGCAATTCAGGATCTCGTTTTTGCTGAGGTGCAGGATGAGGGCAACTGTACACCCAAACCATTCCCAAACCCTAAGCCGTCAACCCAAAGCCAAAACCCTCTTACATCCGGAACCCAACCCTAACCCTAAACCCCTAAAAAGATTGAAACCTAAAACTTCAACTTCTTTGACCTGGAGTAGGCCCTTATTCCCTTTTTTTGGGGGTTCAGGTTCCCTTATAAGCCCCTTTAAACCAAAAAGGGCACCGTTTTTATTCCTAGGCTACTCTTGGGTCTAGACTTTCAGCACCCTGAACCCTGAACCCCGTAACTCCCCACCGAAGCACGTATCCCCCCCCCCCCCCCCCCCCCCCCCCCCCCCCCCCCCCCACAAACTGGGCCTTGTTCAGGAAATTCAGTTTACGTTATATAGCATAATAAGGGAACCATTTTGTATAATGTACATAATGTACATCCTGGTTCTGGTATCTGAACCCAAGTTACATAATACGGAAACCAGGTTCAATAAAGCAATAAGAAAAACTGTAGATCCCCACTACTAGTATGGTAGCGGAAAGTGAACTCCCTAACAAAGGCCCCGATAAGTTCGGCTTACGCTGGAGCTTGCTACAGTAAATCCCATAAAGTTGGAAACCGGATTAAGGCCAAATAGTGCTGGGATTCCCTATACATTACTCTTAGGGATCGAGGCTATGGGGTTTCCAACTTTTTGGCTTCTACTGTAGGCTGGCTGCGCGGAGGATCAAACCACCCCGAGCAAAACTTGGGCTTAAGATTTGGGGTTCATGATTATAGGGGCCTAAATCATTGCCTATACTACTTTGAGGTGTTCCTTATTATGGCTATACTATTATCTACCCCAAAACCCTATTCTAATAATTAAGGCCGTTATATTATTCCAGATTTGGGGTTCAGGGTTCAGGGTAGGCTTCATAGGCTTTTTATGAAGTTGAAGTTCGCCGACCTCTTGGCGTGGCCCACATGAAAGGAGCGTGGTTCCCACAATAGTCCGCGCCAAACTCTGCCATTCAATGTAGGGTTTAGGGTATTCAAGTGTAAGTCCTGAGTCCTGACACGTGCATGCATCCTGCACTCAGCACAAGAATGGCTGGATGCATTATTCAAGTTAGTAACATGCGAGACCCACTGCTCAATGTCCTTGCCCCGGGATTGCAAGCATGTCAGTTTGTTTCTCACGAGACCTCGTGCGTTTTGCCATTGCAGTTGCGCATAGTTGCCCTGATCTTCGTGCTACTTACCTGGATTGATATGCTTCTTTGTGCAAAAATACCAGTGAAGCAATCCCTTTGAAGGACTAGCCCTACCCTTGAAACATGGAAGCACCACTAATTGGTTTAGCGAATCCAAAAACCCTTAACCCTGAACCCTATACCCTACGCCCTAAGCCTTACAGTAGAAGCCAGAAAGTTGGAACATCTTTATCCTCATGCTTTTAAGGTAGTTTATAGGGAATCCTAGCACCAATCATCCCTGGTCCATGTTCCAACTCTCGGTGATCCATTGCCCTAAACCCCTAAACCCTAAACCCTAAACATTGAACCCTAAACCCTATAGACATTGAACCCTAAACCCTAAAACTTAAAACCTATACCCTCAACCCGGCCCTAAACCCTAAACCCTAAACTCAAGGCCTAGGCCGCCCACCTTCGCTTAAGCCCCTCGACATCGATGGCGCAGGTCGATCCAGGACGCTCGCCCGCCGTCCCACAGCCAGGGGTACTGTAGCACCCACGTTAGGCCCGGTACCGGGACACGTTCTCTCGGGACCAGTACTGGTCCCTATGAAAGTCATCGCCTGAAACCTGCTGCCCAGAGTCCGGCAGCCTGGGCTGGTTTGGCCACCCCCGAAAAAGGGACCCGCCGGGGGGGGGCTTGGAAGCTCCAGTGAGCAGAGTTGGCCTTATGGCTGGGTAGGGGGGACTTGGACAATCTGCTCTTTTTGCGTTTCCGCTCGGCCGGCCCCCTGGCCCCCCCTGGCCCCCCTGGGCTCCCCTGGCCCCCCTGGCCTTTGGGGTCCACCGGCCCCACTCCGGCCTGCCTTTTCGGAGCAGAAGCTTGGCTGCAGAATTGTGTGGTTGTTGTTAACCAACATGGACCTAACAGAGTTTAGGTCCTAAACCCTAAAAGGTATAGGTTTGGATGGTTTGCCGCCTCAGACGGCGTGGGGTGGGTGAGTTATGTGATGGCCCGCCACAGTCGGGCCATGGCTGCGATTCGCAGGCAACAAAACCGCTAATAAATCCTACAATGCCTGTTGCACTACCGCTAGGCAATTCTGCGGCAAACCCTAAACCCTAAACCCCTAAACCCTAAACATTGAACCCTAAACCCTAAACCCTAAACATTGAACCCCAGCCCGAATCCTCTCAACAAGTGGGGCACTGCCGCCCAGGTCGCTTCCCATCTCGCCGCCTGCGAGTCGGGGGACGCGGCGGCGTTGAGGCGCACAAAAAACTACTATTTGCTTAAGAAGCACCCAAAAAATTAAGATAATAATCCCTATATTACCCCCATAAGGAATATATTCTTTTTTTGGGGGGTTCTTAAGCAAATAGTAGAAAAGAAGGCTGTTGTAGCTTGGGGTAGACAATCGGCCGTGCGATTAGCTTTGCTTCGCTGCAGGATGTTCGACTGCTGGGATTATAGTCGGCCTATAGCAGACTTGAGGGCTTCGGGCTCAAGGTTTGGGGAGGGACGTGTGTTGGCGCTTTCGAGCGTCTTTGGTTTGTTGGTCGAGCGCCACTCCACCCAGAACTTCCACGCTATTGACCGCCAGTCGTTATGCTTTGGGGATCCCGAAAGCTCTGAACCTCTAAGGGTAAAAGGAGGGACCCTTAATAAGGACCCATTATATGCCCATTATAGGGTAGGGGTGCCCATTAAGGGTCCCTCCTTTTCCCCTTTGAGAACCCTGAACCCTCTAGGCTTCAGGCTTGCTCCGCCCTCATCGTTTTTGATGGTTACGACGAACCCTAGCCACAGAACTTTTTGAGCCAAATAAGAAACTACGTTGCAGAGCACGCGAGAACCCTAAGAAGGTCAGAACCCTGGCCCGATCCCTTAATTTACAGGTGTAGGGTTTAGGGGCTTAGAAAGTCATTCATTATCGTACAACCCCGTCAATGACCTTGACAACACAACCATGCATAAACGAAAAGCTCTGCAACGACCCTAGAAGCACCCCAGCCCAAAACCGTACAAAGCCTTTGAGTCAGAGCTGGGCGTTTTGCGCAAGATCTGGGTGTCCGGTTATTCAGCCATGCTTAACCTTCAAACTTGTTGGGTTTTGTTTACCATGTTGGCTTCCTGCTCGACATACTAAGCCCGCAATCTTCTTGATGGTTTCGCTGCATTGTTTTGAAAGTGAGCCTTCTACATTTTCTCTAGTTTGAGTGGTGAGCTCTCCCAGTATACGTGTATACATGTGTACGTAAATGTATGCAGAACTGTAGGTTTTGATCATGATAAAGCTTTGGGACGACCCTCTCTTGTCATGCTCGGTTGAGTGGTCGGTAGTATGATTTATTGTCGTCTGCATACTCTTAGTCTGGTTACTAAGTTAGGATCCCCAATTGGATACCCTAAATAATAGGTCCCGTACTACAATAGGGACCCAAAAAGGGACCACAATTTTGACAACCACCCAATGCGGTTTCGAAGCATGTGAGTTTGTGAGGCAGCTGGTTGCAATCGTGTGACCTGGCTTCATGGATGACAGGACCAGCACAAAGATTCAGAATTCCGGATTTCGGATTGATGGCTTGGGATTTCGGGTTTAGAGTTTTGGTTAGGGTTCCGATATGTGTCTAGCGCCCAAACCCTTACAATTGAACCTCTAAATCCTTAGCAGTAATGCCCAAACCCCGAAGCCCTAATCACTAATCCGTTGAAGCAGTGTATCGAAGTCTGAATGGTCAGCGAATCTATGCCTGGCAGCGCTTGCATCGGATTGCTCTGAATCCCCAAATACCAACGATATCCCAAGCCCTAGGAAACACACGAAATCCTGCCGCACGCCGGGGTATCCTGCAAGTTCCCTCGGAGTACTTTTGCACTACCTTGCAGTGCCGCTGAAAAAAATCTTAAGGGAACCTTTAAAGAAGCCTTAAAGGAAACGGTACAGCTTGCAGTAGAGGCCACAGGGTCGAGTTGGAAGAAGGAACCGCTCTAGGCTATAGCATACGGATCCCTAGTCGGCACCCCTACTGGAGGATCGGCGCACCCTAATGCTCTCCAAGGGTTCCCAACCCCAAACCCTGAATTCAACGCCCTGTTCAGGATTTAGGAATGAGACCCTGATGAACAGACCCCTTTTCCCTTAGTAAGATTCGGGTAAGATTCCAATATTAGGGCCCTTGCAGACACAGGTTTATTAATCAGGGGTTTACCCAGAGGCTGCAAAGTAGTTCCTCTTTCGGATTTCCTTATAGTATATGAACCCCAGAAAGGACTACTTTGGGGCCTTTGGGTACACCTAAACCCTAAACCCTAAACACTCTTCTTTGAGCTTTGGTTTTGCTCCGAGGTGCGCGAAGGAGGAGCTCTCTACGGAGGTGCTCAATCAGGCTCCTCTTCGCGATTCTCAGAGGGGAAAAATGGGACTTTCCGAAAACAGGGGGCCCTAATATAGGACCCTAAATAGTATAAGGACCCCAAAATAAGGTACCCCCAATTTTCGGAAGCTCCCATATAGGGATTTTAAGAAGGTGCTATAACATACTCCTCAACGATGCTATAACGCCCTATTGAGGCTCCTCTACAGTTTCATTGAGGTTACTCTTGGGGTTTCTGTATGGTGTTGTCGGAGCAATCGTGTATGCACTGGTGTGTCGACGCTTGCCCCGAAATATTTCGGGTCTTTTGTTTGGGCTTCAGGGTTGGGGGTAGATTTTCAAGCCTAATTACACCGCAGACCCCGTCCGTCCGGGTTCTCATCTAATTCTACAACAGACGGGCACAGTAGCCGGATCCTCCCTGCACCCCGGCTTTAAATAGAAGGCGGAGCTAACTCTAAAACCCTAATCCCAAGCTTAACCCACCAAAGCCTACTTTTTGTCGGTCCCTTTTACCTCCATTATTAGGGTTCATAATAAGAACCTACAGAACAGTAGGTTTTGATAGGTTTCGGTACATCTTAAGCCTAAACCCTAAACCCTAAACCCTACACCCTACACGCTGCACCCTACACCCTAAACCCTAAACCCTTACACCCTTACACCCTACACCCTAAACCTAAACCCTAAACCCTAAACTAAATCTTAAGCCCACAGGCCTCCAGCCAGGGAGCCCTAAGCCTCAAACGCAGCTTTTCGCCTTTCCAAATGCCAGACATCGACACCCCAAAGCAATGCGGGGCTAGGAGCCCGTGGCTCTTGTAGCGGCTTTAGAGGTTTTGTTTAGGGTTTTGGGTTTCGGGGTTTAGGGTTTAGGGTTTAGGGTTTAGGGTTTTAGGGTTTAGGGTTTAGGGTTTTCTACAAGAGTTGTAATACGATTTTATTAGGGTCGAAGCTGAGCCTATTCTCTCAGGGTGGCCTGTCGGTGTTTCTTCGGGCGCTTCGCGCGGAGAATGCTTCCACAGAGTTGGCGAGTACAGGTGGGGCTGTTCCTTAGCGGCTAACCCGAAACTGCCACAGCCCAAACCTGAGAGTACTCTTGGGGTGCAGGGAGTGCATCGAGGGCTTTTAGGGCTGAGGGGTTTATCCGTTGAGGTCCCGGGCTCGCTGAAATCCTTTGCCGCGTCCTTGAATGTAAAAACCCTAAACCCTAAAACCCTAAACCCCAAACCCTAAACCCTAAACCCTAAACCCCGAAACCCTAAACCCTAAACCCCTAAACTTGTCCGTAAGTAGGGAAGGCGAGTACTTCGGGGCACGGGGCCCGGTCAGCGACTTGGGATTGCAGGCTCAGATTTCCCAAGCCCTTTACTTAGTAGCTGGCTCAAGTTGCAGATAATAAGGATCCTACTATTTAAGGACTATCATTAGCGGTTAGCGTCCCCTATTCTCGGAAACTCCCATATGGTGTAATGCCTCTGTGGAAATGCCTTCGACACCGTCACATTCGTACAAAAAGCAGCTTCGGAAGCCAAATCTGAAGCCGAGGGGTCAATGTTTATAGCTTTGGGCTTCGAGTTTAGGGTTTAGAGTTTAGGGTTTAGGGATTTGGAGTTTGCTGGTTGAGGGTTCAGGGTTACGGGGTTTCAGGTGCAGCAGCAGCAGCAGCAGCAGCAGACTTGCAGACGACACGCAAAGCTACTACACTCGAACACACTGGTGTTCCTGAGGGTTAAAGCATAGTGCCAACCCCAATCACAATCTAGGCCCGTTTCCAGCAATCCAGTGTCTCGCCACGCTCGCTGCAGGACTCTGCGCGTTTCTCCAACATCCCCGAAGACGCGCCGCGCTCCGTCAAATCAAAGTTCGTGATTGGTCGCGACATTTGAGAACGGACATCAAATTTCTCTAGAGTTTACGTGTGACAACAGTAGACCAGTAAAGAGGTTCATGATCCTTGACTGCAGGAACTCTAATTACTGTTCGACGTCTCTTCAGAACCAAAACTGAAATCTATTTGGTGGTGTTCGAATTACCTGGCCTCAAAGTAGCCATATTGCAGATTCCCTTTCGACTGTGATCGTGATCTTCTGTTAAAGTGGTTTCTCGATGGGAAAGGACCTGTAGAACGACCCCCTATACAAACCCATGTAGCAATTCTGTGAATCCCTCACAACACGGACATGTTACAAACCCCACAAAGGACCAATGAACCGCCACCATAATGCGCCCCTCTAGCAGAAAGATATCCCGCAATTCTTTCTGTCCTGGCAAGGTTTGGAGGGGATTGGATTGGCGCGATATATGAGTCTCAGTAGCTCTGTGTCAAACAGAACTGGGTTTGGCGGTTGAGGGGCGTTTGCATCGTTTCTGATGTGAAGACATGATGTTGATTTTCAGTTCAGGCCATATTGGTCCATAGGAAGTGCTTGATTTTCGGTTCAGGCCATATTGGTGCATAGGAAGTGCTTGATAATTTCCCAAGAATGCTTTCGATCGTGTTCCATCCCTGCATGTTTCTTCCCGCAGAGCTGACCTGGGCTTTGATGTCAGGGCTTCGGGTTTACTGCGGTGTTGCCCATAAGGGTCTAAGTCTCCGAACATTACAACTTCTGTGCAAAAAAGCCATGCAGAGTCTAGCATATGTTGTCTACCTCTCGCTCTGTCTGTCCAAGGGTACAAGGAGGGACCCTTAATAAGGACCCCTAGGTAATATACCCTTAATATAGCTATTATATACCCATGATATAGCCCATTATAGGGTAGGGGTCCCCATTAAGGGTCCCTCCTGTTCCCCTTTGAGTCTGTGTGGCTACTTGGGCTCGAGGGCTTTGGGGTTCCTGGGCCTTCCACGGTGTTGGCCCCACGGAAACCCTGCAGTGCACGCCAAAAACTCCTAAACCCTGTTTTCCTAAGCGGAAAATGCCGCTTCTCGGATCTTGCAGGCGGAAGAAGGGGACGTTTAAGCAAACTAAAGCCCTGAACTCTTGGACCTCGAACTTGAAGACTCTGAGCCACTAATCCCGCAATATTGCAGGATGATGAGGTCATGGTTTGAGTAGTTTTCGAAGCCCGCGTCCCTTGTTAGGGCCCCCAAATAGTAGGGCACTCATATAAAGCGGACCCTAAGAAGGACTCCGAATTTTTGAACTGCCCATCTACTATTCCTGTGGGATCGTTAGTAAACCTCTACAGGAGCGCACCCCCCAAAAAACGATGCAACAGCAACAAGGCTCCTGTTGCACTGTCCTTTGCATTCCCCCTTATAGAAACCTGAACCCCTTAACCCTGAACCGTAAACCCTGAACCCGAAACCTAAACCCCAAACTCTCAACGCCAAACCCTCAACCCTAAACCCTGAACCCTCTTAACCCAACTACAGAACCCAAGCTCTTAGCCCGAGTTTGCCAAAGAAAGGATTCCTTTCTTTGCCAACCTAATTCGGGTTCTGAAATTAATATAATTTCCCCAGAAGGAAGTCGTCGAGTTGCTGTCCAAAGACTGGCAGACGTATGGCCGGATACTCTGGGAGTGAGGATGAAGGGGACCCTTGAGGATAAAGACCCTCTCAATAAGGTCCCTTTTCAGAGAGCCAGAAGTAAACCCTAAACCCTAAACCCTAAACCCTCGGGTTCAGAAGGGGTACCCTTTAAGGGGTCTCTCAAATAATACTACCTATGCTCAGCCCTGGGTCCCTGAACTCTAAACCTGAAGTCCCAAAACCATCAACAGGTTTAGGGTTTAGAGTTTAGAGTTAAGGGTTTAGGGTTTAGAGTTAAGGGTTTAGGGTTGAGAGTTTAGAGTTTAGGGTTTAGGGTTTTGAGTTTAGAGTTTAGGGTTTAGAGTTTAGGGTTTAGGGTTTAGAATTTAGGATTTAGGGTTTAAGCTTTGGGTTCAGGCTTCAGCGGTTAGTTGGACATTGAGTTTCTGGGTACTTCTTGGCATTCAGGGCTTGAGGGGGTGAACGTAGATATATAGTTTGAGACATTACAATAGTAGGGTATGCAGTACCCGAGAGGCTTTCCTTGCTATGGCATTTTAACCCGGGTTGTTGTTTTCGCTTTGGTCGGGGCTCAACCCGATCAACAGAATCTTACATATCCCGATAACGCCCGCCCCCCTCCACAACCCTAAACGCTATCCCCGAAATCAGGCCCTACACGCTCAATCCCCCCAAAGAAGGTCCCCAAACCCCGAAACCCTAAAACCCCTAAACCCCTAAACCCCGAACCCGCAAAGGCCTTTCAGTTCTGTTACAGCATCCTTCTAGCACCCTCAGACTCTTAAAGGGAGTCCCCAAACCCTAAACCCTAAACCCTACACCCTATAGACCCTAAACCCTAAACCCTAAACCCTACCCAGAGACTCCAATATCCCTTAATTAAGGAATATACCTTGAATCATATTAGGAATCATACTATAATTTAAGGTATAATCCTTAATCAAGGGGTTTTGGAGTCTCTGGGTAACCCCTAAACCCTAAACCCTAAACCTCTAAACCCCTAAACCCTAAACCCCTAAACCCTAAACCCTAACCCCAGACCCGAAAAGGTCCCACGATGATGCCGGGTCTCCTGAAGGCCTTGGTAAGCAACGGCCCGCCGGCGTTCCTTGGCCTTCGAAGCGGTTTGGGGTTCAGGGTTTAGGGTTTAGGGTTTAGGGTTTAGGGGTCTTGAGGAGTTCATGTTGAGTACGGCCCCCACCCAAGATTAGTTGAAGAATATATTCAGTAGCCCTATCATAAACTCTTACTGTACAGGGGCTGTACCTTAAAGTTCATGGATATATCAGGATGTTGCACAGGGTTAACTTTTGCTTCGAGAGTGGGCTTCGAATTTAGAGGGTTTTTTTGGGGTGTCAGGGGACCAGCTTGGGAGTTTCCGAGAATAGGGGACCCTAATATAGTACCCTGAATAGTAGGATCCCTATTACAAGGACTCCAAAGTAAGGGGCCCCCGTAATTTTCGCAATTTTCGGAAACTCCAGTTTAAGGGGGTTTCGGGCTTCCGGGGCTTTTAGCCGTTTAGGGCTCTTCGAGTTGGGAGGGTCGACGGCTTTGGGCCCAGTGGAGTTCCGTCAGAGACTTCTTCTACGTAGCATAAGTGCAAAACGTGTAGTTTGAAAAGCATGTTTGCACTATGGGCTATCTTTGTTTCTTAGCTCTCTCCCGTTCTCTCCCTCCCTCTCTCCTTCTCTCTCCTTCTCTCTCCCTCTCTCTTCCTCTCTCGCCCTCTCTCCCCCTCTCTCGCCCCCTCTCTTTCTCCCTAGCCTACAAGCTGTTGGAGATTCAGGTTTCATGCAGCTAGCAGTGCCTTTCCTCCAACCAACCCTAAACCGTGATCTAAACCAAAGATGCTCCATATCCTGAAGCTCTGAACGTTCAGCCCCCAACTCAAACTCCGAGTTTCAAGCACAATGGCCCTGGCTCTACACCCGAAGCTCTAAACCCCAAACCCCCATACATTCCTCAAATGTACCCTCGACATCTAAAGCGGGCAAACTCCTTACTTAAAGGCTCATGGGACTTAGTAAGTAAGGTTATAAGTAGGTTATAACTAGGATAACCCCACTTAGGGGACTTATAACCCCAGTTATAACCTACTTACTAAGTCCCGTGATCCTCTAAGTAAGGGCCGTAGATCCGGTAGCCGAAGATGCGCTCAGGCGCGCTAGCATGGCCTTGCTGCTCTGGCTTTTGGAGGAGATCTCGCTGCTCCTGGTGTATTGCGAAGCCACATCCTGGTATGTATGCTTGCATGCACGCAAGTATATACATATACGACAGACGTATGTATACATATCTACGTGTACAACCAGATCTCTCACACATTGACACATGTGTATATATGCATACATACATACTTGCATGCTGCACCTAGGACATCTATCTATATATATATATATCTATGTATATATAAGTATTTACACACATATGTGCGTGTGTGTACGTATGTCTATATATGCACATAAATGTCTATATGTGCCAGGGTCTACGGCGTACATATAGGTTTCTCGTGTTAGCTTATGGTTTCGGGGCTCTCGGGCCAAGGCGTTGAGAAGTTCAAAGGATGCTTTTGATTTCCCGATCACGCTTGGGGTTTAGGATTTAGGGTTAAGGCTTTACGGTTTAGGGTGTAGGATTTAGGGTTTGGGATTTAGGGTTTAGGGTTTAGGGCATACATTGCGAATTATTTCCGTGGCAGAGGTGCAGGTTTTAGCTCGGGTGTAGGGGGCGAGGAATATGAAAAACGCAAACCTTCCTCAACCACGTAAAATCCTGCAGCAAAGTCGCGATAATTATCCTTATCAGCCCCTTATGCAACCCGATATGGTCAAACATCTATAAGACCCCTGTAGAAGCTAAACCCTATAGATCCTTGAAATCTACTTGGAAAGCAGAGGTCTGCTCAACCCGCATGTTATTGCCCACAAGCTGGTGCTGGCTTCACTGCGTGATGTGCAGGGCCCAGATGTCAGCACATGCTCGGTGGGTCGCAAGCGCATGAAGTTCCTGGAGACCAACCAACAGGTTGGCATCTTCCCGCGGAAGCCCGGCATTTTCTTCAAGGGCACCGTGAGTGACCAGCCCGGCAAGCTGGACGCTTTATGCGCTGAGCTACTAAAGGGGCCTAAACAATTACCAATATTATGGTTAGAGCTCCTTATTATAATTATAGTATAACGGCCCCCAAAACCCTATTCCAATTATTAAGGCCCCTATAGGGTCCGGGATCAAGCTCCCCATCAGCGGGGCCAATAGCCAGGGACCCCAGTGCCCCTCGACCAATGGGCACGCCATGAGCTGCAGCTGAACATATGCATCCAGGAATCCGGGAGAGTGACGTGGACTTCGCTACCGAGGTTGATGTGCTTCATCGGGAGGTTGGTTGCGAAGATGGGCAGCGGCTTCCACCTCGAGGTACTGTTGAACGTGCGGATGTCACCGAACTGCTGTTCAACCGGAGCCTAAGGGGCAGCCGAATGCCAAGCAGCCTGCGGAGTTTGATATTTGGTTATGCGATCAACCGGAGCCTAGTGGGCAGCCAACAACCCAGCAGCTTGCATAGTTTGATGCAAGACGAAGGCGGACATCGTCAACGAGATCTTGTTGCCGATGCCGATGGACAGAAACACGGTTTGGGCGGGGAGATGCTTGTCGGCCTGGCCAAGATCCCCGCCAGCATCGATGGCGAGGTTGAGTGCCGATGGGTTACCGACAATCTACAAGTACGAGGCCGCTGACTCCTTCGTCAACAAGTACCGACGGGAGCCGAGTGGAACAAGAATACCAGTGGGAATACGGCTGAGCTGATTGCCCCCTGTGTAGTTCGTAGAGGAGAGTGTTTTGAAGCGGGCACAGTGTTGTGACTGTGTGGGATTTACCCTGTAGTTTGCCTCTTCCAATCCCGAGAGGAATAGGCTCAGGGATGTGTAGGGGCGCAGTGACCTTTGAATCTCTGCTGCGTGGAGTCTTGCTCGTAGTTCGCCTCATCTGACTCCGTGAGGAATATGCTCGAGCAGTAGTAGTCTTTAGTTGCGGGTACCTTCCGCGTAGGAGGACCCTTGTTGCTTGTTGGCTGCTGCTATGTTCTAGGCTTCGCATGTTTTGGTTTTGAGCGCTGGAGATACGGCTTTTGGCCCTCGTAGCCGCCGGGTTAGGCTCCTCGCGCAACCCTCGGGCGGGCCTGATTTCTGCGCAGCTACCGCAAATCGGCGCTAGCGCATACAGGCACCCGCGGGCTTCCAGAATTCATTGTTTGCTAGTGGTACGTTCTCGACAGGACTTTGCACCAACGGAAGAAGGCCCCTATGTCAAGCTGCAAGGGCTGCAGCTGGCGGTGGATAGAGCCCAGATGAGCCCGTATATCTTTCGCTGACCGGAGGCAGCTGGAGCCAGCCATGTAACTGCCACTGACCCCGCTGTGTGCACGTGCGCACAAGGCCCGACGGTTGGCGCCATGACGTGCGTGGGCCACAAGCGCAGTCCAAGATTTCCGGAAGCGTTGGACTGAGAAACTCAGAAGAAGATGTGAGGCAGTTGCTCAACGTGTCGATGCTTCCTTCTAAGAAGTAACAAGGGCCAAATGGGAGTTTCCGAAAATCAGGGTTACCTTATTTTGGGGGTCCTTACAAGGATCCTACTATTGGGTGCTACATTAGGGTCCCCTATTTTCGGAAACCCCCAAATCATCTACTATCTGGATATGGGCTTTTGGGTTTAGTGAAGTGCCTCGGCAGGAGGTCGAGGGCGCCCCGGGCGCTTTCCATGCCGCGGCCATGCGCCAGGAATCAGACGACGGAGGCCAAGTAGAGGAGTTTCGTGTTTAGAGTTTAGGGTTTGGGTTTTTCGGGCTTATAGGTCTCTAGGGATTTAGTGATGTAAGGTTTAGGTTAGGCGTTCAGGGATAGTGGTTTAGTGTGCGCATTTTCTCTCTGATTAATGTTTGTTGTGTTGAGATTTAGGTTTCCTAGCAGTTTTGTTCAGGTAGTCGCTGATCCCTGAACTCTAAACTTCAACCGCAGGCCCAACGTAAACGTCGCAGCTCCCCCCCCAACCCCCCATCCCCCACGTGCTGTCGCGCTTGCCCGCCACACAAAACCCGACGCCCCAGATGTTGAACACAACTTCTCGCAAACTGTAACTTCAGCCCGGAGCTTCGTTCAAAACCTAAACGCCCCTAAACCTTCAGGGTTTGAGGGGGTTTTAGGGGTTTACGGGTTTAGGGTACGTAAAATTAAACCGTCCCTGTCCAGCTCCGGGCTACCGGCAGCTTGCCGCTACAGCCTATGGTGCTGCAGCACTTCGTCGGGCGCAGTCGCTAGGCCTGCATTGTGGGGTTTAGGGTTCAGGCCCATTCTTTTGTTACCATATCAAGAATATTCACCGATACCTTGTTCTGATTACCAAAGCCTCCATGTTAGTGATTTGCTTTCAGGTGTTTTTTTTGGGTATTGGGTGCCGGGTGCGGCTTACTCACAATTTACTGATACTATACGGACTTCAGGGGAACGTATCCTTACGAATAACTAGATCATGCTCCAGGCCGTCGAATCTGAGACAACACCGAACCCAAAGAGCGATCAACGGTGACTCTGAAATCTCGAATCCGGCATTGCTTTGAAGCCCCCAACTGTAGGGTTTAGGGTCCCAGAACCCCAAGGCTCACTAAACCACTAAACCCAAACCCTAAACCCTAAACCCTAAACCCTAAACCCCAAACCCTTGCAGAGACCTAGCAACCAAAAATCCTTGCACAGCCCCTTGAACATGATAAACCCATGTCGATCGCTTCCCTAAAGCCTAAACCCTAAGCCCTACTTGGAGGATCATGGGACTTAGTAAGGGTCCTTAAAGGGCTCTTTAAAGGGATCCTTAAAGGGTTCCTTAAAAGGGATCTATAGGGTTTAGGGTTTAGGGTCTACTTGGGAGGATCATGGGACTTAGTAAGTTAGGTTATAAGTACCTTAATTGGGGTTATAAGTAGTTATAAGTATAGTTACCTTGCTTATAACCCTAGTTACTAAATCCCATGATCCTCCAAGTAACCCCCTATAAACCTCTAAACCATGAGCCCCAGACTCCAAAGCCGACCCCCGCACCCTGAAGCCTAAGCCCTAAAACGCTAAGTCCTAAAGTAAAAGCCAGAAAGTTGGAATAGGATTATCCTAACCCTTCTATGGTAAATTATAGGGTATCCTAGCATGAAACCATATTCCAACTTTCTGGAGTTCCCTGTAAGCCTTAAACCTAGGCAGAAGGCCCCCGTCGCTTTGGGCGAGTCGATGTGCGAGGCCAGATCACCTCCGGGACGGGTTCGGGGCTTGGGGCCAAGGGTTTAGGGTTTAGGGTTTAGGGTTTAGAGTTTGGGGTTTGAATGGGGCTTAGGGTTGGTGAAGAATCGGAAAATTTAGAGTTTGGAGTTGGGAGCTTCGGGCCAAGGGTACCCGTAGGATGCTGGGGAAACTTGCCGTTACTTAGGCCGGTATGGCCACGGAGCAATCTCCACTTGCCAAGCAACCGCCCAGAGCAAACTTGAAAAGCCACGAAGACTCGAGAAGCTTGAGACCCTGCCTATCTTGAAACATATATTCTTCCATACTTTAGGACACGATCAAAGCCGGAATCTTTCTGGGTGGTAATTACATTGCAGCACTGTATAGTAAGCCATGTTCAGGGGGCTCTCAGAGGATGTCATATAGGAACCTGGGTCTTTGATAGGACCCTGTGCTTGAATCCTACGGTGGATGATATAAATCCTGCATTACCTTAAGGACCCTAAACTATGGGAATTATGGTATATTCCTTATTATGGGTCATGCAGGATTTATATCATCAACCGTAGTATCTCGGGTTTCTACTTCCCGAGCCCCCACGTGATCCCTGAACCCTGATCCCCTCCTCTCCCTAAGAACCTGCAGCCATATACTATAGAAGCCTGGATGCTTACCAATGTTATTCCTGAAGGTTCCGTATTATAGATATACTATGAAGGGGCCCCCAAATCATACTGTTGATGATATAAATCCTGCATTACCCATAATAAGGGATATATGGGAATTATGGTATATTCCTTATCATGAGTCATGCAGGATTTATATCATCAACCGTAGTACGGCCCCTACATTAACTCTTATCACCTAACTCGCAGGCCGAAACCCCTGGCGCCCAAGCCGTTGAGAGAAAACAGAACCCCTGAAGGAATCCTTTGTCAACTCACCCCAAGCTTCTAGACATCTTCTAGACTCTAGACCTTGAGCTCAACGTCCTCTTGCACCCTAAACCCTAAACCCTGAAACCTGAATTCCTTGAAGATGCTCGTTGGTATGGGCAGACATCAAAAAGGAGCAGAAAACGCAACAAAACCTGAGTTCCTAGAGTGGATGAAGCCCTTTGAAACAGGCGGTGGACGCCGAAGTACATGGTGGCTTCATGGAGGCTTCAGGGATTTAGGGGTTCAGGGATTCAAAGGATTCAGGGGTTTAGGGGTCTAAGGGATTCATGGCTTTAGGGGTTTAAGGGTTCAGGAATTCAGGGGTTTAGGGGTTTAAGGGTTTAGGGGCGGGCTGCAAGGGTTTAGGGCTTCAGGGATTCAGGATTTAGGGTTCAGGGTGTCACGGCGAGGGTTGTTGATTCAACAACTGGAACCATAAAGTAAAAGCCAGAAAGTTGGAATATGATTATCCAAACCCTTTATGGTAAATTATAAGGTATCCTACCCTGAAACCATATTCCAACTTTCTGGAGTTCCCTTTATGTCGGCACTATACCCCAGCTCCATTATTTTTCGGTTTTGGTGCAGTGGAGGTTAGGGGTAGTGTTGCCCTTGCGCTGGTCGGAGATCGCCAAAAATTCAACCAACTCAGGAATGCATCCTGCGCCCTCTTTGTTCTTGATGGTTGGCAGCTCGAAATCTTCTGCCGCACTCTGCTGCTCTCCTCAACCCCAAACTCCACACCTCGATACCCTAAACCCTAAACCCTAAACCCAAAGCACCCAAAGCCCTGCATCCTAAACCCCAGGAGAAGAGCATAGCGAATGTTGGAATAGGGTTTACGGTTTAGGTTTAGAGTACCATTCCTGTTTGGCTACATTCCGGTTCTTACCACTAGTTGGTTGGGGGTGTGTTTGGGCCCAGAGACTCCAATACCCCTTGATTAAGGAATATACCTCAAATTATAGTAGGATCCTTAATATGATTTAAGGAATATTCCCTAATTAAGGGGTATTGGAGTCTCTGGGGGTTCAGGGTTCTTGTATTCCTGCCTTTAGCTTTGGGGGGTGCGACTTCTCCGGATGGGGGAGTCTGCACATCTGCGAGGATACGTAGACAGGAAATACACTCCCTAAACTCTTATAGTAACCCTCATAATAACCCTTATAATGACCCCTATGATAGTAGCCCTTACAGTAACCCTTGTAGTACCCCTGGCTGAAGAGCCAGAAGCAGAAATTGCGAGACGAACAAATTTGAAAAGGACGAGGAACAAGCGGGCTGAAGAGCACAAGGTGTTCAAGGAAGCCCGGGAGGCAGGGTTCGCCAAGAAAGACCGCGTAGTGGCTTTGAAGGAAACTGAGCAGAAAACTGCAGCCAGGAGGCTCTTGTCCAACGGTAAAAGGAGGGACCCTTAATAAGGACCCCTAGGTATATAGCCTTCATATAGCTGTTATATTACCCACTATATAGCCTGTTATAGGGTAGGGGTCCCCATTAAGGGTCCCTCCTTTTCCCCTTGGATCTTGGTGAAAGTGGAGAAGCGGGACGTGCAGCTGTTGCGGAGGCGCTCCGCATCGCAGTGGCTGCAAACCCTGACGCCGTCAATCCAGAAGTTTCACAGAAGCGCCACGAGAACTGAAAACCGGCTCCGATATTAGCCACACTAGACTGATTTAGTGTTTAGGGTTTAGGTTTCACGAATCACACCCTGCATCTTAGGCAACACTCTGCATGTACTGTAGTTTAGGCCCTTCAGAAGAAATGCCAGGATCTCCTGAAGGAGGAGAGCTCGCAGGAAGTGCTGTCCATCCTCACTGCACCTTGCCGGCAAGTTTAGGGTTGGGGTTCGAGCTACGGCTTCGGTGGCTTGGGCCAAGGCGGTTTATGTCGACCTCTGTGATTTTCAGCCCGCCCTACACCTCCGAGGGCCTTGATCTTCGGATCCTTGTTACAGGCCTTATCACCGGCAGGGGTTTACGGCAGTGCTAGTATTCCTCCTATTGCTAGCAATAGTACTTCTCACAAGTTCTAGCAGCACGAGTACCAGTAGTAGTGTTTTTGTTCGTACCAGTACTCACACTAAACCCTGAACCCCTGAACCCTTAAACCCTAAGCCGTACTACGGTTGATGATATAAATCCTGCATGACCCATAATAAGGAATATACCATAATTCCCATATATCCCTTATTATGGGTAATGCAGGATTTATATCATCAACCGTAGTATACGTACTTGGTATTGGTAGCGTCAGACCATGCCAAGCGAGACCCCTGAGGCCTCTAGCCACTTAAAGGCTCATGGGACTTAGTAAGTAAGGTTAAAAGTAGGTTATAATTAGGATAATCCCACTTAGAGGACTTATAACCCCCAATTATAACCTACTTACTAAGTCCCATGATCCTCTAAGTAGACCCTAAACCCTAAACCCCATAGATCCCTTTAAGGAGCCCTTTAAGACCCCTTACTACGTCCCATGAGCCTCTAAGCAGAGTTGCCCTTAGCCGACCCGTAAGCTGAACCATCCACTCCTAAACCGGCTTCGGGTTTAGGGTTTGAGGGTTTAGGGTTTAGGGTTTGAGGGTTTAGGGTCTAGGGTTTAGGGTTTGAGGGTTTGAGGGTTTAGGGTTTAGGGTTTAGGGTGTAGGGTTTGAGGGTTTAGGGTTTAGGGTTGAGTGATTTGCGAACAAACTCCGGCCAAACATGCTTGACATTCTTGCAGCCCAAGCAAACAGCGACTGCTTCTTGAATTAGCCCGGCAAACTGCGCATTGAAGAGGCCCTCGCTAACTATGTAAGGCCACACTGCAGCTCAAAATTTTCTTCCACCTATTAAGGCCCCGATGTTACAGTATACTAGAAGTCTCTCGGGAAGAGAGGGAGAGGGCAGTGGATTCCAAGCATTGAAGTGTTTGGGATGTTGGCTTCATGCTCATAGGTGTCGGTTCGTGGTTGTCTTCCACATAGGGGTTATAGAAGGACTAGGATGCCCAGTAGTACCCTTATTCCCTTTTTGTAGTCCTAGGTTCCTTATAAAGTTACCCAATACCAAAAAGAGAGGCCTTTTTATTCTTAGGTTACTGGGTATCCTCGGTAGGCTGTATTAAGATAGCTATTCATAATGCAGAATACCTTATGCTTGACACGCCTTGAGAAGAGGTAGCAGTCTTACTGGCTGTCATGGGGCTACAAGTTATATTCCAATCTCAAGATGCTATATCGCGAGTGTGAAAGGTCAGTAGTAGTAGTAGTAGTAGCAGTAGTAGTAGTAGGAGTAGTAGTAGTAGTAGTAGTAGTAGTAGTAGTAGTAGTAGTAGTATCATGATATGCTTGATATAGCGTTATATGCCCCGAACCGCTTTTGAAAGTATTGAGGCCCCTTTATTGGCACTCTTATGGCAAAGCACTGAAGGTGTTTAGGATCCCTTATGGGGGTTTCCGAAAATAGGGGACCCTAATATAGAACCCCAAATAGTAGGATCCTTATTATAAGGACCCCAAAATAAGGTACCCCCCCCCCCCATTTTCGGAAGCTCCCCTATTACGATCCCTGCACCCAGGCAAGCTGCGCCACACCCCAGGCGGCCTCTAGCGAACTGCAGCGCCAGCAGGCAACGCAAATCAAGGACGGCGGAGCGACAGAAGGAACCAGTTCTTGTTAGGGAACTTAAGGAAACCATGATGTTTAACCATAGAGTCATGTTCCGGTAACCTCAATTACCTGCCCCTAAGCCCAATCCTAAATCCCAAGCCCCATTTGATTGAGGGCGTTTTAGGGCTTTAAGGTTTCGGGGGCTGGACATTGAATTGACAACGGTTTAGTTTAGTTGTCTTTCCGCATGTCTTCGGCGGTTGCGGGAAGAGCTCCAGACTCACGGCCCGTCACGGTCCAAGCCGTACCCAACCCATAGCCATAAACTCTAAGCCCCAAACCAGCGGCAGGAGGAGAAGAAGTTCACTGAGATGCTCCAGGGCAAGCTGCGCCAGAGCCACCGTGCACTGCAGGCGGCGCCGAGTGAGGAGGGAGATGCCTATACGCCCGAATGCCCGGAATCGGAATCATCCGGTTCCAGAGCTCAATGTAAACCCCCCGCTACAGAATCCGTGACAGTAGGGTGTCATAATACCACGACCCCAAGAGAAGCGAGGTTCTTGATCAGGAGCAAACCCAAGCCCTAAGACCTGAATGCCTCGGGGTCGGTTGCGCTGCACGCGTGTTGTTGTAAAGAGCTTCAGCCCGTAGTGCTGCAGTATTAAGGGTTTAGGGTTTTCTAGTTCAGGGTTTAGGGCATTATAGTTTTTAGGATTTAGGGAGTAGGGTTTAAAGGTTTGTTGGTTAGGGGCAGCTGTCTGGCTTCGTCTGCTCAGACCACCCACGCACTGCTTTTCGATTGTGATCCCTGGTGAAGCCATGCGTAGTGTTGATTCAGGGCCTCTCAAACCGGCTTGAACCCTAAACCCCTCACAACCCCTTAACCCCTAAACCCCTAAACCCTAAACCCCTAACCCCCTAAACCCCAACCCCTAAGCCCTAACCCCTACGGATTCACAAACTCTTGGAAAGATGCTGACTCTACTCTGTATAAGTTGGACCCCCTAGACAACTATGATGATACAAATTCTGCATTACCCATAATAAGCAACGCACCATAATTCCCACAGACCAGGGTCATTAAGGTAATGCAGGATTTATATCATTAACCGTAGCTATGTGCACTTATGCCTCCGCAAGCTTACGGACTTTGGCCCTCAACCTTAAATCTCGAATCCTGGGCCGAGTGGTGTTGTATTGGGGGGTTTGGGTTTGGGCCGAGGGGTTAGGGTGCAGGCCTATACCTTAGCCCCGAATAACCTACCTTTTTACGGACTTAAAGAAAGGAAATCATAATAAGGAACCCTACAAAGGTAGGTTATTCAGGGTTAAGGTTTAGGGTTTAGTGTTTATGGTTCGTGGCTCTATTTCGACGGTAACGGTACTTAGTTATGGTTGCACAGCAGAACTTAGACCCCAGAACCCCCAGCTCCCACAAGCTATTCGTGTAGGCCATGGCGCCCTTGGTGAAGCTGGGCGACCCGGATTTAGAGCCTTGGAAAGAGTTCTGAAAGAAAGGAGAGGCAGCGCCCAGCCTCAGTGTCTGGGGGCAGTGGGTTTCACGGTTTCGGCTTGGTGGGAGCCGATCTGAACTTCAGTCTTTGTTCAGCATTGAAGCGGATGGTTGCCCGTTGACCGGCGAGTATGTTCTTGCATGGCTGCTTAACCCTTCTCACTGAACCCTGAATTCACCCCACAAACTCTCAGCTGCCAAGAGTCCAGGAGCGTAGCTGAGAAGTGAGAAGGGAAAGCCCCTCTTTGGGCCTAGGACCTACTTAAAGGCTCATAGGACTTAGTAAGTAAGGTTATAAGTAGGTTATAATTAGGATAACCCCACTTAAAGGACTTATAACCCCAGTTATCACCTACTTACTAAGTCCCATGATCCTCTAAGTAGCAGCTCAGCTACTCGGGTCATCTAGGGACCCACATGACTGGTCATATCGTTCCTTGAGGGGCTCCTTCCGCGCATTATGTGAATATGAGACCCATTTACACCTTAAGCTCCTGGTATAGGGGCCCAATACATAATTACCAATACTTTTTTTTTTTTGGGGGGGGGGGGGAGGTTCCGTATTAAAAGTATAGTATAATGGGCCCAAAACATTTTTCTAATTATTAAGGGCCCTATATTAGTCTAACTGTGAATGCCCCCGGATAGGTCTTGAGCCCAGACAGGCTGTTGAAAGCACGTGGTACACCAAATGAGTCCCGCATTCCCATAACAATCATAAAGAGCCCTGAAGGCAGGATATTACTAATTATGTTGGCCCCTAGCTGACCCAGAAGACGTGTTGCTTGTTTAGGCAACCTTCTAGGAAGGAAGCTTCCAGAGCTCCATGTACTGAACAACTCGAGCAGCGTCCACACACGTCCGAGGCTTCAGCACGTTAAGGGGTCAGGGCATTGAGTTTAGAGATTAGGTTTTGAGATGGTTGGAGTATAGAGCTTAGGGTATACCCTAGACCCTGCACCCTAAACCCTAAACCCCTAAACCCTAAACCCTAAACCCTAAACCCTAAACCCTAAACGGTTTAGGTTCGCAACAAACTCGGCGCCCAAAGCCGAAAGATTTGAGGAACGCACGCTGGCCTCGATCGTGCAGAATGGCTGGGAGTCAGCGCTTCGGCGCAACATGAAGGGTTTAGGGTTTAGGGTTTAGGGTTTAGGGTTGAACCGACCCTAAGCAGTTAAGCACAGTCCTGATGCCGCAAGAATGACACAAACGCAACACCTAAGTACGAAGCCTTAAACCTTAAGCCCTAAGCCCTAAACCCCTAAACCCTAAACCGTAAAGCCTTCAAGCCATAAAGGAGTCAGGTTTGGTTTATTAAAGGTTCAGTGCAGGGCTTTGGGAGACGATCGGGCTCTCGGTACAGACTGGTCGTTTATGGATTAGGGTAGTTGTCAAAATTATGGTCCCTTTCTGGGTACCCTAAATGTTAGGTGCCGTATTATAGTAGGGACCCAAAAAAGGACCCTAATTTTTGTCAACCACCCGTTAGGGTGCAGGGTTTGTGGCTTATGTATGGATCTCCCTAAACCCTAAACCCTAAACCCTAGAGCTTATGGGTGCAGGATCCAGGTTTCTAGTGATATGGGCGTTTCCGGAGATAGGGGACCCTAATATAGAACCCGAACTGGTAGGATCTTTCTTATAAGGACCCCAAATAAGGTACCCCCATATACCCTAATATAGAACCTGAGCTGGTAGGATCTTTCGTACAAGGACCCCCAAATGAGGTACCCCTAATTTTCGGAAACTCCCATATAGTGACCAGATAGGCCCTGCCAAAGTCTTGTTGCAACGATTGGGGCCGCTATGTGACCTTGTTGAACCTCCGAGCCGACTAATGGGTGTGGGCTCCAAGTCCAATCTCCGTAATACAGAGGTCGGAATAGTCAACAATACCATCCCCCCTGCATACAGTGTACGCACCCCCGAACCCGATTCCGAACAGACCTCTAATAGTCTAAGGCACTGCGCATAGAAATCCTTTTCAAACTACGAACGCCTCTGTGTTCGGTGATTCGATACCCTTCGGGAGAGTCGGGTTTCTTGTCGGCCAGATACAATTCACAGGTTGCAGTACGGAGTACATCGGGTTCGGTGTAGGGACCGAAGATCTATACAACCCTATAAACCCCGGAAGCCAAGCCTTTCTATGCCGGAGCCCTACACTCTACACTGAAACCCCCCTAAACCCTAAACCCTAAACCCTAAACCCTAAACCCTAAACCCTAAACCCTAAACCCTAAACCCCAAGCCCTGAACCTCTATAACCCTGAACCCCTAAGGCCCAAAAAACACCTCGGCCCCCTACTAGTAGAGTCTGAGTAGGTTAAAGTACTATAAACCTTACCTGGACCCCAAAAGTATGCAGAATAATAGCCTTTTATAGGTTTTGGGCCATTATTTTACCTACTTTTGAGGGGTCTAGGTATGTATAATTCCCAAAGGGTTAGCCTTTAGCTGCTCTACTAAACCTATCAAGCCCTAACCCCTCAACCCCGAGCTCTGGGAGTTCAAGGTGCACTGGTTTAGGGTTTAGGGGTTTAGATAGGGGTTCAGGCGTTTAGGGTTTAAAGCTACACAATCAGCAGCAACCCTAAACTAGCACACGACACCCGAAACCACCCAGGCCCTACAGAACCTGAAACACCCAGGCCCACTGGCCAGAAGGGCAGACTTTGCTCCACTTCCTCTGCGAGTAGCGCCGGCTGCACTCCGGGGAGCTTTGATTTGAGCCGACATAGCGGTTTGGGGTTGAGGGTCTAGGGTTTAGGGGTGAGGGTTTTGAAGTTTTGGGTCCACAGGTTTGGGGTTTTAAAGTTGAGGGAAGAAGGGTCTGAAGTTTAGGGTCCGGCGTTTCGGTTTTCAAGTCTAGCGGTTTAGCGTTGAGGAAACACCCAAAGAGCTGAACTCGGGGCTCTGCGGATGAGTAGGCACGGTGTAAAGATAAACCTAGACCCGCCAAACCCCCCAAAACCGCCAAACCTTAGGGGTTTAGGGTTTAGGGTTTAGGGGTTTAGGGTTTAGGGTTTAGGGTTAAACCACCAAACCCACAAACCCTCAAACCACTAAACCCCTCAAGCCCGAATATACGCCTAAAGCCACTCAAAACCTTCAACACACCCCCCCCCCTCTCCTAAACCCCTAAATCCATCCCCTAAACCCTGAAAGCCTTAAACCCTAATCCCTGAAAGCCCTAATGTAGGGGCCTTAATAATTACCAACACATTTTTGGGGTTCCTTCTTATGACTATGGTACAATGAGCCCCCGAGGCCTTCTTTTCATTACTAAGGCCCCTATACTATAGTACCTTTATAGGTCCCTTATAGTAGCCTTTATAGACCCCTTTAAAGGAACCCTATAAAGGAACCCTATAAACCCTAAAACACTAAAAGCCCTAAACCCGAAAACTCTCCGAAAGCGCTTCTTCCGCCCAGGCACAGCGAGGACCCTCGCGCCGTGCATCTGGTCTCCGAACTCTGCCCAGATCTTGAGGCTCCCGGATGCTTTGGGGGACTATCTCGGGGATTCCTTTTTAGGGTACCTTCAAGGGTTCGTTGAGGTTTAGGGTTGTAGGAGTCAGGGTTCAGGGTTGTAGGGTTTTGGGGCTGTGGGGTTGTGGGGTTTTGCGGTTTTAGGGTTTAGGGTTGCAGGGTTTGGGGTTTAGGGTTGTAGGGTTTTGGGGGTTCAGGGTTCAGGGTCTCCGGGTTACCGTTTAAAGTTTAAGGGTTTAGGGGTTTAGGGGTTTAGGGTTTAGGGTTTAGGGTTTAGGGTACAGAAGAGTTTAAAGTTTAAGTGCTTTGAATCTGGGCCCAATGCTTTGGGGGACTCACTTCCTTTCGATACCCAATGGGAGAACTAAAGGCTGAACCCTAACGCCTACCAGGACCCCCCAAGTACCCTTTAATATAGCCCTCATGCCCTCAATAGTCGGGCTTTAAGGTATCATAGAGTCATATGGACCCTTAGGGGGTTAGGGGTAGGCGGGGTAGGCGGTCTTCGTGCCCATAATACGGCGCTAATATAAGGCTTGTCCCCGACCCCCCCCCCCCTAGCTCCTTAAGGGTTCTTGGAGGGTCGGGGGACTTAGCAAGTAGGTAGTAAGTAGACTTATAAGTACCCTAAAGGGGACCCTAATTGGGGTTATGGTACTTATAAGTCCCTAAAATAACCGGTTACTAAGTCCCCCGACCCTCCAAGTTACCCTAAACCCTAAACCCTAAACCCTAGTTCCTATGACAGATGGTAGTTGGGGGTGCATGGCGAGACTTGGAGCTCGGTGACTAGGGGGGAATATCAGAGCCACTTCGGGGTCTGTTCCGCGAAAGCCAAGAGACGACCTTTTCGGGTGCGGTTTAAGAATTATGGTTTTTAAGGGGTTTTGGCGTTAGGATATAGGAATTACGGTTATTTAGGGTTTAGGGTTCAGGGGTTGCGGGATGAAACAAACCGTCAAGGTTTCTAGGGTTTAGGGTTTTGGTTTAGGGTTTAGGGTTTGGGTCAAACATTGGAACCTAACTTTAAAAGAAGCTAAATCCTGCAGGCGCGAGATGAGAAAGGGCTTCGGGCCATGGACTACGCCATGCAGAATCCCTCCTCAGAGGCTTCACAGAGAGCCCCTGGCTCCTAGTTTTTTGGTAAAGGTTTTGTTCAGGGTTCTGCAGGACTTCATCACCTAGTAGTAGAGTAGGAAACCTTGAACCTGTTTTGGGTGTAGTCCCTATATAATCCCTATATAGCCAAAAGGGTTAACCTTTGGTTCCCCATGATACTCAACAAATAGGATCAGGGCTTCGTGGAGCTGTGTTGAGGCTTCTGCTTGGTTTTCTAGGTGCCCTGCAGGGATTTATAAGGGTTCTGAGGGCTTTGTTGTAGGATTTCGATCTGCTTTCACGAGGCCCTTGAAGTTTCCTTGCTTCTAGTACGGGACAGCGAAAGCATCACAGAACATCGCATGGGGGTTACTGAGCCCCGAAATTTCAAGGGCAGTGCGGTTT